CTATAACTTATTGAAAAGTTTATGGATCCACACAATTTTTTTATGAGAAATAATATTTTTTAATAAACCCTTTTTCATTCGACATACTTTATCTTAATCGAGATATTAATAAGGAACCAGCAGATCAAGTAGCTTTTGGAATAAAACACCAATTTTTTTAAAATTAAACACTATCTAAAGATTTGCATCGAAGCGTTTATTTTTGATAGTGATTTTAATCACTGTCAGATATCATTATACTTGATCCAACTATTCCACGTCACCACTGTGCCGCGACCCCCCTGTGCTGGGTTTTTTATTAACAGTTTTATCTAATATAAATTTTATTTTATTCGATTTTTAACGAGTTACAGCTATTTAAAGCTTAGAAATTATCAGAAAAACAACATATTCATTTTTAAAAGACAGCTTGTTTTTTGGGTTATAAATTGATAATCGCAACTGGTTTGTAACATCATCAGTATATCAAATTTCTACAAACCAGTAGTTTCTTAATGTACAACATGATAATGTTGCATTTTTTAAATAATAAATATGCTTCTTTTCTGATAACTAATAAACTTTATACAGCTGTAAATCATTGAAAATCAAATATAAAAAAATTGATAATAAAAAAAAAAATTGGGATTGCCAATTAAAAATCAAAAAAATTGATACGAGTTTAAGTTATAAGTGATGATAGCAGAATATTAATTTTTCATTTAAAACAGCTCAACAGAAAACCATTATTGTTAAAAATATAAAATAGTGATTAATTTTAATATTTTGGAAAATACTTTGTGAAGCATAATTAAGGAATCACCTTGAATACATATCACCATCACCAATCAGAATTGGTCATAGCTAATGTTTTTTACAATTGTATCAACTATTTCCTCATTAATGAACTTGATCACAGTAAAAAAATTCATGTAATTATGAGCAAAATGTTTTAAATAAACAATCAAAAGTAAATAACACTTCTTTCTCTTTCATAACTTAATTATAATAAATATAAAGAATAGAAATCTTACTTCTTTAAAACCACAAATTAATAATCCATGTTGAATAGTTTTATTGATGTGGAATGGCCATTTAGTAGGTAAAATTTCACTTCGAATTTCAAAAACATAATTAGTTTCAAGAGATACACTCCAATATCTATGGTATCCATCTCTACCAACTGAACTAACAACTTTAAAGTTAGAAATTTGTTCATCTAACCATATTGCTGTAACACCAGCAAAGCTGTGTATTTTATTAAATTGCTGTAAAGGATTCTAAAAAAGAGAAAAGAAAAACTTAACACATAAAAAAGAAAAATTATATGTATCAATCAATGCCTTTTGATTTAAATGAAATATAAATATAGACCCTTCGTTACAACCAGAAAAAATTAATGTTCCAATTTTTACAGCAGTTGTTACCCATATATTTGCTTTTGAAGCTATGTTAAATTTTGAAATTTGGTTTATATGCATACCTAAAAATAAATTAAATTTATGAAAAAAAATTAATTAAAAATAGCATTGAAATTAAATTATTAAATTAAAAAAAATAATTTTTTGACAAAATATTAAAGAGAATTTATCAATATTGTTGTTAAAAACAAATTTACTATAATTTATCTAATTTTTAAGTTTAATTAATATTAATTTATATTACATTTATATATACATACATTTATATTTAGACACAAATTCACTCTATAAAATATTTGTTTCTTAAACAAGCTACCAAACAATTGCATAAATAAGGCAAGAACATATTCTTTTTCAGTGCCAATCATAGCGTTATCTCTTAGAAATAATATGCATAAGAAATTTTTACAACCCTATTTAAATACATTTTCACCTTACATTTATTTTTATTATATGTAAAGTTTATTCCATGTTTCCTCTCAATAAGAGTTTATTCACTCTCACTTAATCATTTATCATCTTGATTCTATTTTATTTTAAATGAATTTATGAAGCTTTTAGTTATAGTTAAATAATTTTTTCATAAAAAATGATTGATAGTTCAATTCATGCAATAATATTTTATTAAAATTATATGATCAGATATTTTAATTAAATTTTCATGATGCAAAAAATATTGTTTGTTTATCATACTAAAATACTTTCATGATAAATGTGTAATTAATTAAAATATTAAATCAATTTTTTTTAATTTTGATAGACTCATAATTTTAAAATAAGTTATAGATACATACTATGATTAAGTATATACAAACAAATTGTATTCTCTACTGAACTTGTCATTATTTGACCTTGATCTAACCAAATTGAATAACTGATTTTAGTAGTTGAAATTTGTCTACTTATAACTTGAAATTCTTTATCAACACCTATATCAAAAAATAAACAAATAATTTTATCTTAGAAAAATAAATTATAATAAGACATTTGTTAAATTACTTTTTAAAATTACTATATAACCATTACTAGTTGTAAAAAGTATAAAATATCCACAAGGTGACTTCGTCATTGTTAAAGTACAACATAATATTTTATTTTCATAAATAATACTATTATTATCATCTTTATATTTTACAACTTGACCATCAGAATATAGTACAATAGTACCAATATTCTTTATTATAACTAAATGTTTAGGATATCTCTTTTGCAATTTATAATCATCAAGAATACATAATCTTGGTATTGAATTAATTTCCCATAGTCTGATACTACCAGTTGATGAACCACTAGCCATTAAATGTTCAACTTCCAAAAAATCTAAAGAGCGTACTTGAGATCCTCTACTCTCTTCCCATTGGTATGTTGAAGATGATGCTTTATAGCATATTTGACCATCCTAAAATGTAAAAATTTAAATACAATAAAGTATTGAAAAAGAAATACTAACAATTAATTACTTCTCCTGCACTCAATATACCGTCCGATTCTAATAAAATACTTTTCCAAACTCTTGCTTTGTGGGCATAAATTGAATACTTTGGACAAATTTTTGCATTTCTCCACCAATCATATAATGTGCTATTATTAAAAGATTCAACATTCCAGATAATAATACTGCGATCATCTGATGTAGAACTTATAAGGGTGTTTGAAAGATTTACAACAATAGAAAATAATATACCCTTAAAATATAAATTAGTAAAAGATAAAAGTATTACCAATTTTACAAATTAAAATTACAACCTCATGTTTTTGAAGCCTATGTAAAATATTTGTATCATTGAGTCTTCTAAAAGGACTCCAAATTACAATTTCCTTGAACACAGTTCCTGAAAATACAATTACATTATCTTTGTCTTTTCCTACTGATGTTGCTGAATAGCTACATAATCAAACTTAAAGAAATTTGATTTGACGATAAGTAGTTGTTAAAATATTCTGTTTAAAAATTTAATTATTACAAGGATACAGTATACACTGTTCATCACAAGATACTTCTTTAATTTTTTTTTTTAGTTTGAAATTCCATAGTTGAGCAATATTATGGGCTGATATTGATAATAGTGAATTATCATTAAGCCAAAGTACATTGCAAATCCAATCATCTGAATGAACCATACTATCAAATAACATACTAAAAATGTATTAACATAATTTTTATTTAAAATAATTAAAGATTGTAAAAGATAAGTAGTATGGCTAAATTATAAATAAATACTTACCCAAAATTATTAGTAAATGATTCAGTTAACTTATAAATGGCAACATAATTTTCTCCATGTAAAGCAAGTAACGATTCATCGTTATTACTTTTAATTCCATGAATTGAAGCTTTGTCAAAAATTTTTTTATGTAGGATTAAACACTTGGTATGAATATCATAAACCAGTAAGTTGTTTCCAATGCCTAAAAAGACAATTAATTTTAGTAATTGTTAATAATAAAATTTATATGCTTACTAGTTAAAAGATAAGATCTAATAAATTTAACACACGAAACTGTATGCACTAAAATAACAGATTTAAAAATGTTAGATTTTTCTACACCTCTGTTAGATATCATAATTGATATTAATACTTAAGAGATAGGTAAAAAAATTATGAATATAAATTTTTCAATATTTTAATGAGAAAAAACAATAAAAATTGGTACTTGAATTATATATAAACTTCTGTTTACTAGATATTGGAATTATACTTATTATATTATCATATTCATATATCATTTTACCGCACGGGATGCTCTTATCAATAAAATAAAAATGTGCCAAATGTGTACATTTTATTCGATAAATTTTTTGTTCGAAAGCCATTATTATCTAAAATTATTCCAATACTTATACTTGTTCCAATTAACAATTTATCTACTAATAGTTAATTAAATTAAATTTTAACTTAAAAAAATAAATTTAAAATATAATAATTTATATTTAAATATTATTATTTTATGGGTTTTGAATAATTAAAAAATCTAATTTAGTTATATTATAAAAAATATTTCGTAAGGAGACTTTAAAGTAGCATTAGGAAATATTTATTTTGTAAAATTACTAGATTAGACAACTATTAGTTCCCTAAAGCACAAAGTTTTAAGAAGACTTAGCGTCTTCTTATACCGAAATACAGTCCTCTATAGAAGCATTATGTTATGTGCTTACGCATTTAACTATTATAAAGGAATTATTAGTAATTCTTACACACTTATTAACTATAGCCTTTTTTAAATTTAAATTTGCCGTGAGTTATTTATGTCTATTTTAATATATAACTCCATAGAATAGATGTATTAGGGCGCCTAGCTCCCAGTTCAAAATTTAGTTCCTTAAAAAAAAAATAAGGAGATTTCATTTAGTTATTTAAAAATATGCCGGAGAAAAATAAATACAAAATTTTGATAAAATTTTAGCTATGACTACGAACATACTCAGACGATTTTAATTGAAACCAAGGGCGTATTTAAAAATTTATATTGAGGTAGGCACAATTATAATTTTTCAATTAACAATCAATGAAAATTTTCGCGATCATTTGAAGATAGTTATAAGATAAACAAACATTTACCCTAGTTTTATTGGGTTCATTGGGTAAGATGCCGCCAAAAGTTTCAGGGGCGTCTTTTTCATTGTGCCCTAGGACAGCTGCCCCGTGAAGCCTTTTACGTAACACGTCACTGGTCAAGAAAAAAAAATTCTAGAAACCAAAAAGTTATGGTAAAACTGGCTACACTGTACAAGTAATCATTCTATATTGCAATAATTATTTATCTACAGTTACTTTATCATACTGAAGTTAAATAGTGTCAAATGTAAATAAGTAATTTAAAAATTACTTATTTTATTAAATTTTTTTACTTTTATATTACAAGAAAATATAATTATATTATTGAATTTGATGATAAGTAGCAAAAGTTTTATTTTAATCAATTAGTTAACTCAGTGACACATTTGCTGCTGAGCAATTTTACAGAATAAACAGAATTTTTTGTTTGTCAATTTTTAAAATATTAAACTAATTTCAAATATTTATTTTGAAGTCATGAGTGAAGATGATACGTGGCGTACGCCCAATTTTCGTCAAAATGTTGTCAATAAAATGTAATTTTTTTTTATATTCTTTTAAATACAATACAAAGTTTATAATCATTTGTAAATTTTAGTGATGAAGCTATCTCTCAATCTGGGTTACCAACTACCAAAAATAGTTTGGAAATGGAAAATCATGTGTTCATGAAAGCTAAAAGTAAAGTATGTATAATTTAATTTAATTTATTTTGAATCTAGCATTTGTCTTATTCGATATTTTTGTTTCTTTAATGGACTAAATTTACTATTTAATTTTGTTAACAGAGAAACATACACAGTCAATAAGGCTTATAGATCTTTATAATACCTTTAAATTTTGTATATACAGAATGATTATTTTAACACTAGCCATTTGATTTCTCTTAAAATAATTTTTTTTTTTGGTTTTTGTTAATTACATAAGTATTTACATTTATTTTTTATAAAATGTTTTTTTAGATTTATCGCTTTTATCTTATAGAAATGTCAACTCCATTTTTTAAAATAACAACATAAATATTAAACTATAAAATAGAAAATAATTATATGACTGGTCAATCATAACTTTTGGTCTAATACTTTGGAAGTTATTAGTATTTTCAATATAGACCAGAGTTGAAGCAAGGATTTTGCAATTTCTATCATTAGTCATTTCCTCTCCTACCATCTTAGTGCAAAATCGTTAATTTTTTCCAAATATTTTTTCAAAAGTTGTCATTGACCAGTCATTTTCTATTTTATAAGTTAGTTAAATATGTATGATGTCATTTAATATAAATAAATTGACACTCCTATAATATATAAGGAATGAACACATCAAAAAACATATGAAAAATATTTGATTACAGATAAATGAAGATACATATGTAACTAACAAAAGTTAAGAAAAAAACAATTATTTAAAGAGAAATTGAGTAGTTATCGTTAAAAGAATCACCTTGTATTTATATTAATGTTTTGTTGCTTATAATACAATTTTAAAAATATTAATGTTTTGAAAATATTTTATTCAATATACTTTTTTATAAGATTTTATTACAAATTATAACAATAAAAAACTAGTTGATTTTAGAAAATATTTTAAGAACCTAATTCAATAATATCTTTTAATATTCAAATATTTAATAGGACCGATATACCCCAAATAATACTTTTAGATCGAAAAAATATTATCAGGAAAACATAAAAACATGTGCCAGGGTTTTTGAATTCCAGAAATTAAAAATAACTTCAATATCTTGGGATCTGTCACATTATTGATTTCAAGTCTTCAAATTTCAATGTAGAAGATAAATAACATTTTAGTAAAAGTTTTAAATAAATGATGAAATAATCTTTGCATAATTAGATGTAGTTAATGTAAACTAAGTTAAGTATTGAATAGTTAATTTTTAAAAAATCAAAAAGATATAATGCATCATACTTAAGAACGTATGGTTTATAACCAACTTTGTATAATAATCAAACTTGATAACTAATGTTTGTATAAACATGAAATTTTTACTATTGACTCTCCCTTGAAATTTTTCACAATATGAAAAATAAACCAAAATTAACTTTTCTTCCTATATAAAAACTCTATTCCTTTATGGACATGTGAATAAATTATAGCTTTCAATTTTTAGGATGAATACTTAAGTTATGTTGCTCGCTTGCTACTACATGTTGGTGGAAGAGATATGAGTAAGTAGTAAATATAATTCAATAATTGAAAGCTTTATGTTTTGTATAAAAAGTCATGTGCTTATTTAAATTAATTGACTACTATATTTTCTACATGAAAATTTTTTTATTTTTACATTTAAAATCTATTTAAATGTACAATTTTTTTGGCATTTACAGTTATAGGATTTGTATTTTTATCATAGACATATATTTTATACAATTTTTAAAATATTGTATCTTTTTCTACATGAAAAGCAAATTTAAATAGCACTGGAGTTATAACACTAATCTAATTTAATGTTTGAAAATAACCTTTGTATGGAGGGTAAATTTGGATGGTTAATGTCAGGGCCATATTAAGGGAGTCTAGGTATGACCGTTCATAGTCTTAAGGTGCCTATTTTAAATTTTACTAGCCTGTCATGATATATTTTAAGTAATAATGACCTGTTTTTGCTCATTATTTTTTCATAGAAAAATATTTATTCATAAGGCTCATCTCAAGAAACTACCCATATAGTTTTTAATTCGACCTTGATTAATGTAGTCAACTTCCTCCCTAAAAATAATTTATAAGTTATAAAAGAGTCAATCTTTTTATATTGATTACTAGAGTTAAAAAATATTTTTATTAACCAAAAATAAAATACATGGTAAAATTATATAATAAAAATTGATCACTTGTGGCTAATTAAAAAAATTTTACATGGTAAAATTGTTTTCTAATAATTTTTAATTAATTATGATATGTGTGTGTGTAAAGATTAAAATTATGTAAGTACTATTACTATATAAATAACTATTCGTGATCTCTTTAGAAGTTTTTATTTTTTAACTTTGTCTAAAGTTATACTTATGAGTTAGTAATATAACTGAATTTTTTTGTTTTTTAATAGTAAAATAGTGGTTACTTTGTAAATAAATTAAAATTAATGTTATTTTATGTGTAATAGTCACACTTATAATGAGTACATACCTATATTGGGAGTAGTTCCTAAAAACTATTTTAAATACATAATTTAAATAGTATTATTAAATTGTATTATTGTAGTATAATAGTTGAAAATACAACAAAATTCAAGCCCTATTTAATTTAAAATATACGAGGAGAGTATTTTTTATGTAAAATTAAAAATAACTTTTAAAGGTGGATTTCAAAAGTAAATAGTTATTATTGACTTAAAACTTGTATAAAATGGTATTTATAAGCTAAAAAAATATGTCTTCATTTTATTCTACATTTACTAAACGTAATAAATTGTTGTTTAATTTAGGAGGTGGAAATCAAATGATGAATATGAACCAAAATCCTGGAGCAGTTAATGCTACAACACGTAAGTACTTTTAATTATTGGTAGAATTTAGGAGGTAATAAAAATTATACTTATTATCTATTCAGATAGTTAAAAGAAAGATTGTCAACATATATTTATTTTTTGAATTAGAATTTCAAATTTTTGTTTATATTTTTAATTATAAAAAAAGGTTTACATCATTTTAGTTTCAAACCTAAAATGTCGATATCCACTAATATTCTATTTTTTCAGATAAAAATACTTTCGGCTCTAAATGAGTGTGTCCAATAGGACATTATATATAATGACTTTCAAAAAGCATTTAATGAAGTAAATCACAACATTCTTTTATATAAATTATCTTATTTTGGTATCCATGGAAAACTATTTAATTGGCTGAAATTTTATTTATTTTCTTGAAACTAGGCATTGAAAATTTTTAGTTATGTTTTAAATGATTTTTTGGTTAGTTTTGAAGTTCCTCAAGGGTCTCACTTAGGTTCCCTCTTATTTATATCATTCATTAATGATTTACCTTATATTTTTGATAGCTCGGTTGACATTTTATTTTTTGCCGATGATGCTAAATTATTTTTAGTTATTTAATTTCCAAATGATGCATTAAAATTACAATCAAATTTGAATACTTTTGTTGATTGGAATTATGTTAATCGTCCACTGTTAAATATAAATAAGTTTAATATAATAATGTTTCCTTTTATAAATAAATTTATAATCTATAATTTTAATAAATAAATAAATTTTAAGATTGATAATTATTCAGTTATGAGAGTTAGTTCAATCAGAGATTTAAGAATTCTCTTTCATTTTAATATGGATTATTCCTTCCACATTAACAATTTTACTAAAAAAGCTTTTAAGATGCTGGGATTTATTAATAGGAGTACAATTAATTTAAAAAATACCAATGCTTTGAAAATACTATACTTTTCCCTGGTTAGGTCTCATCTTAAGTTTGAGTCAATTGTTTGGTTACCACATTATTTTTTGCATTTAAATATTATTGAAAATGTTCAGTATAAATTTCTAAAAATATTATGTTTTAAAATGAATATATTATCAAGTGATATATATAATGTGCAGATTACCGATTTGGGAATTGTTTCTTGTAACTCGAAGAAAAATGTTGTGGATATTATGTTCATTTACAACATATTAATTCTCCAAAATTACTATTTCTTATTGAATTTAATGTACCCACTCACTGATTAAAGAAGTTCAACTTATTTCATGTTTCTATTTATAAAAATAATTATACTTCTACTTCATTTTTCCCTAGAGTTCTGCCACTAGCGAACCGTATAATGGATTATGTTGTTTCTTTTTCTATGTAGCGTAATGTATTCAGGCAGAATATGTATACTGCTTTAAATTTACTTGTTTAAATTGATGGTCTGATTTATTGGTCATTTTCTTGTTTTTCTGTTAATTGTTGTTATATTAATTAACTTTATTAGTATTATGTTGTTTTACTATTGTCACACGTATTGATATATCTCAATTTTGTTATTCATATAATATATATAAGCTATTTAAATTGTACACTATTTATTTAAGTTGAAAATGCAATTATTTATATTTTGCTAAAAAGTTTTGTAACACGTTAACTGTATATTAATAAATAAAAATAAAATTTTATAGTTTTGCAGACATTAAGTAATCGACCTCAAACTCAAAACAAATTACCAGGTCAAATGCCAATGGGAACTGGCCAAATGAATCAAGCTCCACCAGGTACATTAAGACCTAATGTACCTATGGGCCAAGGACCAATGATTCAAAATTCTGGGCCAGGTCCTATGAATAACCAAATGGGGCAAGTTTCTTCAATGCCAATGACATCTGTAATGGGTGGCCCTCCTATGCAAGGAATGCCTGTTCAAATGTCGGGGCAAATGCCAGGAATACCTAATAATATGCAAACCGGTCCAATAGGACGAATGCAACAAAGAAAAGTATATAATTTTTTGCTTTGATACTTGTTTATTACTTTCATCATGTTTTTATTCAATAGTATTCAATCATTTTTTATAATGTTCTATAATTTATTTAAGTTAAAGCATTATACTCATTTCAGATGCCAAATACTCCAGATAATGTAATGATGGTACCGAACCAACCTAATGTTGGAGGATTTTCTGGTGGCCCACCCAGATCTGTTGGAACAAATCAATTTCTTAATCATAGTCCATCATCTCCCCAACAGTCACCTGTCAATGTGCTACCTGGGTAATTAATATATTGTTTGTTTAACCAACTTTGTTTATTTTTATTTGATTTTCGAAAAATTTTAAAGTTGATACTGTAATGTTTCCTTTCACTCATTGCTCCTATCTTTGACTTGGAACACTCCCTTGCGTCTATTTTTCTATTTGTTCTATCTTAGCTTTTTGACATCTCTAGGTTGATATTAAATTTATTTTGTCTCTCATCAAAGGTCCCTTGATGTACCTAACTTTTTATCTTTCATTTTCTTGTGTACTCCTTTTCAAAACTCAACATTTCTCCTTGTACTTTGTTCCTACTTATCACTCGTTTCATGAATATAATCATCCTTTATATTGTATGCTTTGTCAATTAAATAATGAATAGCTCTATATCACTAATAAATTTTGTTTTTTGTTATTTTACTGTTTATTTTAGTGTAATTTATTGTGCAAGATTTATCACTAACTATCATGTATTTAATTAAAATTCTATGCCTTTTTAGGCCTTACATAATTAAAATAAAATAAAGTAAATTTTTATATAATATTATATTTTATTTTCAATTTTAGAAATCAAATGATTGCATCTCCTAGTGGACCACAATTAACCCCTAGTGGTAATATTGGAGGACCTATTAGATCTATTGGTTAGTAATAAAATGTTGTTTGTTAATATCATTAATCAAGTTTTTTATTATTCCATGGTATATTTTGAATAAATAAGAAATCCTTAAAAATTCTTTATATGATTTCTATATCATGTTGTGTACTTATGTAAATTATATTTTGCAGTTATTTACTTAATTAGAAATTCAATGTTCATAACTTTTTACAATAACTACTTATAATTTTATACGTATATTAGGTCCAGTGCCTTCTCCAGGCAGTTCAGTTCCAACATTGAATACTCCAATAAATCCTTCATCAAATGCTGGGCCTAGTCCCTTGGCACAAGAAGATATTGCTTATAGAGAAAAAGTTAGACAGCTTAGTAAATATATTGAACCATTAAGAAAAATGATAGCAAGGATTGGGAATGAAGGTAAAATATTATATTTTTTCAATGAAATGTTTAAAAATAAAATTTTATATAATTTTAAGATGTTGAAAAGTTAGCTAAAATGAAAAAGCTTTTAGAAATTCTATCATCACCTAACCAGAGAATGCCTTTAGAGACATTGCTAAAATGTGAAATTGCTTTAGAAAGGTTAGATTTGAGCAGGGTAAGAATTTATTGTTTTTTACTGTATTATTGTATTGTAAGAATTTGAGTATTTTTATATATACACCCTTCAGCATAAAAAATACATTATAAAATGTTTAATAAATATACAACTTTTTTAATTAGGGTGAAGGAGGTAGTGTTCCTCCACCTCCTACAAGTACAATGAGGGAAGTACATCCTCTTATAGAAGTTATTAGTTCAATGATACAATCTCCTAATTTTAACCATACTTTACATCGAACTTTTGCTCCTTGTATTGAATTTATGGTGGGTCCAAGAAGACCAATGTAAGCTTTATGTTATTTTTAAGATAAATTAGATTAAATGTGGGAAATTAGTTGATTAAAATGTAAATTATATACACATATAAAAAGATAAAAGAATATAATTATAAATAATATATATATATATATTGTATGTATTTCATTTTAGTTCACCACCTCCATTTACTGGTAATGATAATTCCAATGAAGTTCAAAGTATTATACCAAAAGCATTAGAAGGAGAAATAGCTCGACTTGATCAGCGCTTTAAAGTATAATGAATAATTAAAGTACCATTTATTATCATTTACTTATATACTTTTCTTTTAAACAAATATAGGTATCTTTAGATCCTGTGCGTCCTAGTGGAGCTTCATGCATTCGATTATTATGTCAATTAGATGATAAAAATTTGCCATGTGTTCCTCCTATCAATGTAATTGTATATGAAAATTATCCTCCGGCCAATCCTGCATGTGTAATTTCATCTAATGATTATGGAGGTACATCATTTCTTATGTGTGTAAAAGATGTCTTTGAATCCAGAATGATGTTAATGCCAGTTCGCTTCACTGTATCACACATTCTTGACTCTTGGGAAATGAGTGTGAGACAAGCAGTAGCAGCATTACTTGACAATAAAGATATTGTTACAGACTGATGTTTTAAAGTTAACTGCTAATATATACTATTTGAATGTCATAAAATGATTGTTATTGTTTTATTAATTTTTATTGTTATTTTTTGATAATGATATGTGTAACTTATTTTCAATAATCTACTTAAAATAGAAAATGGTCTATTTGAAAATTTATATTTATAAATCATTGTACTTATTTTGAAGCTTAAAATACTTTATATATAGTTTATTTTATTATTTTTTGATCTGCACATATTAGTTTAAGCAATTAGAATAAATTATTCATAATTAGATTTATTATAATTTTATGTAACCTATTAATCTTTTTAAATTTAAAAAAGTCTGTCATAAAATGTTATAGAGTGTTGCTGTTAATATGCACATAAATTATATTTAAGAGTTAGCTAATAATAACATTAAATATTTTAGTAATTTTAATGTGTTCAAGTGATTATCACCATAAAATCAAGCATTTATATAGACTATTAATAATTAGAAACTATTTTTAATTATATTTTCAAAATGAGCTATATAAAATAATGATAAATTTATTCTAACAGAATCCTTATAATCAGTGCTCAGGACTATGCATTTATAAAATTTATTTTAGTAATCCTAAGTACATCATAATTCATGTTAGTTTTTCTCATTACTAATCTGTGTATATTAATTGGAAATTTAGTTTTACGATACATATGAAGATCACTTTATCATAATGAAAAATATTCCTGTGATACTGTATATACATATGATAATTTTTCAGTGTTGGGTGGCTCAGAAGTGGTTTAAAAAAATTTTATAATGCATAAAGTCCAGATTTATAATGATTATACATATATGTATAATATGTTATAATAAAAGTTACACTATAGTTAATACTTGTGTATTTATGCGTAGATGAATACATACATCTATCACTTCTAAAAATCTATTGTGATAAATTTAGGTATTTAAATTTAAGTTAAATTTCATAAAATTATTAATTCTTTACTTTTTATTATTACATTTTCAATTTTCTAATATTGCTACGCTTTTTAGTATTTATAGTAAACTTACTTTGATTAATTTGATACAGTTTAATAATTTAAATATTTATAAACTTCTTTTCGTATTCTTCTGTAAATATTTTTCTTAGAATGAAAAGTCCATCGAGCGTTAAAATATATTTCGTAAGACCAATACAAACAAAGAACAATATCAATAATATAATGCCCATAGATAGAATAACGATTTTTTGTATAAAATATAGCACTTTTAACAGTTCCATATGCTTTTATAATGTGACCTATAAAAGTTTTGAATCAAATCTCAAATAATATTTGTGTTGATGAATTTTCCTTTTTCATTACGATGAGTAAACATAAAACTAAGAAAATGCTTTTCTTAATAGCCATTAAAATAAGTTTTCAACGTCAACTACTAAAATAATATTTTTGAAATATTTATCTTACCATATTTATCTTGGTAATTATAAATATCTTGTAACGGTTAAAATTTCAGTAAAGGTTCATATTAGGTATACGTACAAATTGTTGAATTTGGAATTTTAACTACCCGTTTTTTATCATATCCCTCCTCATGATTAAATTAGAAAAAAAAACTAATAACTTTTTTTTTACAGGGGTAAAATTATACAAGACTTATAACTATAACTTTGGATGGAGATTACAAAAAATTAATTGATTTCAAGAGATTTTTTTCTTGCAAATTTTAACAAGTTAATAACGTATTATTTGTATTCTGAGTTAAATATAGCCATATATTCAGTGTTAACTAGTTGACTCTACTACTCTACATTCATACTACGTGTTAGTCCAATCCCTTATCAGTAGTGCAATTTAAATTTTTTCAATGGATTTTACTAAGGTATCTGTTTGGAATAACAAACCTACTTCCAGGAAAATTAAATGCTGTACAACAAAAATAAAATACAGGTTAGTTTATGCGATAATAGTCCGTACGAAAAAATATTGATATCAGTTGGTAGAGTCCTATTATAGTCTAATGGATGCGTGAGTAATAGTCTTCGATTTCTTTTGTAAGCAAGACAGTCAGAATTGTAAAATAGCAATAAGGTATTTGAATAATTATTTTTGTATATAAAAATATTAAAAAAATATATAAAACATTGTTTTTATATATTCTTACTTGGATGTTTTCTAATAAAAAAACACAAGTCACTTTTTAACGTTTATTATTCGTAAAAATGTTTACCAGTTATTGGCTCAATTTATTGATATTATTGTCAATATATTGCTATTTGAATTTAGATAGTTATGTAAACCTACATTTTTTTTACTCGCCATAAAAACAGTGAGTTGTGCATTTTCTTATAAAAAACGTCCACTTATAGTTTAATAACTTTCTAATTCGAAATAAATGCTGTGTTATCAATAATTTAACTTATTTTATTTATATTTACTCATACAAAATTTTATCCAAAAAAGTTCAATTTACATTTTAAGAAAACTGGGTACAATTGTAATGTAATAATAAATAGTAAATATTTTTTTTATTTGGAGACAAAAATAATTTACATTATAAATACAAGTAATGAAAGTGTTGTAATATACAAAAAAAATTAGATTTGTGTGTTGAGGTATTAAGTTCTATATTAAATTTATTATTTCATATAACCCTTTTTATATTAAAATTGTTGTCTCATAAACTAATGAAAGTAAAAATTATTTATTTATTATTTGAGCTATATAAAGTATTACTGGTTTCTCTTCATTGTTCAATTTGTTATTATAAAAAGTAACATAGATTAATTTAGAATTTGATTAAATATCGCTTTATTCTTATCATTTTTAATTTTTTCTTACTACGTTTGTTTCATCTAATCCCTATCAAACTTTTTAACTATAAATTAAAAATATATACTTAAAAACCCAAAAGTTATTTTATTAAAAATCGAAAAAAAATGTTTTATCGTGATACTAAAATTATATTTGTAGCTATAAAATTTATTTTACTATTAACTTCATATAACCGTGTATACAGCTGATTGATTTGTTGTTGACTACTAAATTACTCCTTAAACAATAATAATTTCGAATTTTTTTGTTTAATGTTATTTATTTTTTGATTTATAAGTGGTTAAATATTTGGTTAGTATATCCCTTATCCAGTTTAATGGATCCAACTTGATTTTTATAAATTATATACATATTTTAAATGTTATAAAATTATCCAAATAAGAAAATATCTGGTGTAAACAAATTTTGAATTAGAATTTCGGAATATTAATATTGTTAAATGTAGACTAGACGTGAGGCGCTGGTCATTTTATTTTAATTATTATGCTCTCTCCGCAGTACCCCTCCTATCCAAGTATAAAAATGTTCATAACTTCTAAAATACTGATTCAAAAGTTGTTATCAACGAGACATTTTCTTAATTGGATAATTTTCTAACATTTAAGCTAGTAAAATATGTTGCCATTAAGAAAAAAATAGTATCCTCTTAAGAGAATAAGAAATAGACCTTAATAATATATTACTACTTATGAATACAAAATATATACTACTAAAATATGCAAAAGCAATTCAAAATTTATTATTTTAAGAAGAAATCTAGTGGTCAACAATAAATCTATCACTCTATATATTAGATATGATAGGCACTACTAGAAAAAAATGTTTTGAACGTGATAATTATTATTCACTTTTCTTAAAAAATATTTTCATGCGATAAATATAGTACTGTACTTTTCAGAGGTTAAGTCTCCCTAACTCTCTAATTGTGCTAGTATAAGATACATAAGTAAATTATGATGGGGTTAGGGTTATAGTCTCCTCAATAAAAATATTATCTATTGTTATATGAAATATATTTTCGATACATTAAAATTTTTACTCTCAAAAATACTCTAATTGCATCTATGACCATGGACTAAATGAGGAGGGGTTTGTAGATCGAACTCTCCGTCACAAAATATTATAATATATTATTACTATATTAAAAATTTCTTAAAAAAAAAAAAAAAAAAACAGAATTCATCAAACCCAAAATATTGTTACTTTTAAACTAGATTTTAGAATTCTGAAAAAAGGTAAAACATACAAAAAAGTCTAGGTTCTTATCGTTAAACCTTTAAGGACGATAAGTAGGTCATTCGGGTACTATTGCGTTTTAACAACGAATTTTCACTGGATACGCTGGTTGTACTCGTTGTATAACATACTCTTTTTATAGTTTCTATTTTTTATAATTATTTTATTTAAAAAAATTGTTTAACAGTTGACTGTGAGAAGACAAACGATAAGCATTGACACAAAAAAAAAAAAAAAAATGGGTCATTTTGTTGCATTAAGTTTTATCTCTGTTTTGCTCATTAACACCTATAAAAAACATGATAGTTGTTATTAAATTTGGTAGATTAAATGTAAATTAGTTAAAATGATAAATTTTTATAAACTTGATTAAAAAATAAAAGCAACATGAAAAATATTTGTAGTGAAAATATCATTCCTTATTTTTGAACCAACCCCATTATTGTCGAGTATGAAAATATAATAATAACGTTGGCGTGAACTTTGAGAGTGAAAATCCGATTGCTCACTTCCCCTCGGTCGTCGCCTTTCCCTTCTTCGGTTAGCCTATCGAACCACTCAGTAAACCCGCACGTTCTGAGTTCGAGGGTTATACTGGAATACTCAAATAACCACTACTGGAGAGTTTCTATGACCCCGACCTATTTTACCGAATCTCTTAAGATGATTGAATTATTGTTTGATTATTAATATAATTAATATTGTTCGTTGATAAATCATAACTGTATTCATAAAAATCATTATTTATGAAATTATTTTATTGATGATACCGCAATATAGTGTTATCATGTATTAATATAAATCAGTTGCGAAACAAACCAACAACGGCGCTTGGGCGGACTCGAGCAGGACGCTCGCGCGCCTGTCCGATATTAGAGGTCAATATTGATCTCAGCGGCGGAGACGGCGACGATAGTGGCGGCCTGTGCGACTATACCATACAGTATAATACTCTGCACGCACAAAAGCGACCTGCGTGCGCCGCACTGTTGTCGGTTTTCTTATATAGATAAAACGCTCGACGGTGGTGGCCGGCAACGAGCAAAGTATAGACGGGGTGGGAAGCTTATGTATATGCAAGTTCCGGGGACAAGCAGCCGATCCGCCGCCGCCGCCGTCGTAGAGGCAGCAGTCGTTCGTTAACCGCCAACGATATCGTCCGAGCGACCACGTTTTGTGTGTACGATTTGTTAATTAGATATTTTATTTTTTATCGTGGGTACGTTTGTTTGTTTTTTTTATCACATGTAGAACTGTGTTCTTAGAGTAATTTTCTATCGAAACCATCCTCATTATATGTCTAGGACGTTTTCGACAGAAAATTGTTTTTCATATTAATCAAAAGTTTTTGTTAATTGTTCACCATTATGAAGTCGATAAAATATTTCTACAGTAGACGCAAAATCAAAGTACTAAATCGGTTATTGTTATAATAACAATAACTACCGCAACAACGCACAGTCATCGAAGGTGCCTAATTCGGCCGTGTGGTGGCTGCTGCGGATTGTCTTTCATGTATCCCGGTGGCCCGGCACCGGCGAGCCGCTACAGCGATCATGGCATTGGACAAGACGTGCTGTGCGCATATATGCCCGGTGTCAGCCGCCACAAAGCCGCCGCCCAACGAATGCCTGGACGTTCGCAAATGGTGGTGGTTCCTGCTGTCCAGCGTGTTCACGTTCTTGGCCGGTCTGCTAATTGTTCTACTATGGCGGTTCTTCGCATTCCTGTTCACGCAAAAACAACCCATCGAACTAGTGGCACCGGGATGCCCCAACTCCGAGCCCAAAAAAGAGCAAAAGCGTCAGGGCAAACAAGAGTTCGAGGGCACATTCATGACAGAGGCCAAAGACTGGGCAGGCGAACTAATATCCGGGCAAACGACTACTGGGCGAATACTGGTAAGGATATTTTAAAATCAAAGTATCTCTAACTAAGTCAATACTAATTGGTATAAATAACGGGACAACTTATGAACCTTATAAAGAATTCATATCTTGCTTAATATATTAGTCAAAACATGATTGAATAATACATTGATAATGAACCTTATTTATTAATTATTTAATATTTTATGGCTACTTCGATAGCTTTTAAAGAAAAAATTGAAGATCTTTACAAAAAACTGAATTATGATAAAATATATAATATTAATTTACTATTCTCGTTAATATTTTAAAGTGAGAATTCTAATTTTTAATATAATAAACTATTTATAAAATAACTAATATTCCTAGTTTATTAGTTTTATCATTGTAATTTACTGTCAAATTCGTGTTTGTTTGTATAAAACACTTCAATTATTTTTCAAAAACTAGACTAAGTTAGATATACACAAAGAAAGACTATACAAATTCATATATCTTTTAATATTTCTATTAGAAAAACTATTATCAGTTTTATGTCCAAGTTTGTCAGTTTATTTGTATAATTTGCGAATTTTAGTATAACTTTACCTGTATAAAAAATAAAATAATAATAAAGTAAAATTAAATAGTGAATTACTAAATTTAGAATTTATACTAAATTTTGTATTACTATTATTTTGAGTAAAAATTCTCAACGAATGTTTAAACTGTGGTGTGATTTTTATTCCCTAATTTAAAAATCATAAAATATAATTTATAATATTAAAAAGATACTTTTATTCAGCAGATTAAAATAATAATAAAATGAAGGGAACACATAATTTCATAATTTAAAAAATAAAATTGATTTTTTAAATAAATGTACTGATTTTGATTGAGTAATGTGCTATTTTCAAACAATAAATACATGTAACTGGTACTACTGGTCAAACATTTTATTTTCCAATTGTTAGATGTAATTCTTTATATTCGTCTGGTTTTTGTTACAAAATAGATTAGGTAGTTTAATTATTATTAAACAAATTGAACTCATTATAATACAGAACCGCGTGTCTACTAAAAGGTCATGAAATATGTTCTAAATGTCATGCTATGTCTCTATTTTTATCTTTAACCAATACCCACGTGTTTCAACAACTATTAAAATTAATGAAATTCTATTGTCAAACAAAAGACAAATTGTTAAGGGTTAATTTGTACTTGTCAGATACTGGAGCGTTTATGTGAAATCCAGTAATTCTAATTTTTATTTTGGTTTCTTGTCGGAACATCCAGTGAGGGAAATAAGAGGTGCTGTTTCACAACTTGAAAATTTTTATGTCACTAAAGAAAAAACCAGCGCACATCAAACAAACATAGTGAACAAATATGTAGTTACACATTTGAGTTTTTGTCAATTCAAAATAGTTTCTGCAATAAAGTTAGTAAGAGAAGTTTAAAAACTATTTGAGGATAAATAGGTGGTTAACTTTCTACACGTGTAGGGGAAGTAAAATATTATGACTGACTTATTTCGAATGATTAATGACTAATAATCAAGTTCCTAATACTTTAGTAATGAAGGTGCTATGTAATGGGCATATTGATAATCGATTAGTATTATGCTGTAATTGATGGGGTGTAGCAGGCGAGTATTAAGATTTTATTTGAATAACTAAAGAAATTTTTTGATACATTTTTTCTTATTAAAATCTTTTTAAAATACAATTTTCAAAAATAAATTAGGTCTTAATATGAATTTTCTTTAACCTTCCCCATTGATACGCCCTCGGAATGTATGAAGAGCCGCCCTCGTGACCTAAACTATGAGTAATTTTTGGGATATTTTTCAACGATTGTCTTTGGTTTGTCATAAAGTAGTTATTTATTATTAGGAAACAGCATTATTAATTTTAACTTATTTAAATCAATTCAATAACCTTACCTAATAAATATTGTGTTGATACTATTATTACAATTGACTGAAGTTTATTTAATACTGTTAGAGGTCCGTTTGATACTTAGAGATTTTGGTCAAAACCAAGAATCGGAAGCTACTCGACGTCTGCCCGAATACTGTTCCTATCTCCTTCAATGAGTTTTAATTACCCGAAAGAGATACAGGCAATCGTGTACCTTAGTTACTAGTGAGACATTGCATAATAAAGTTAAACTATTGTTTTATGTCAACGACAAAGTAAAGTTGTATTTTAAATGTTCAATAAAAATAAGTTATGTATAATACATCTGACCTGAATACTAGTTGAGTTGGTTAGTAGATGTATCCAAGTGAGAGACGGAGTTGGTCGACTATGATGACAATTGGCGATAGACGAGTCGTCGAATAAAATAAGTTATTGACAAAGTGAATAAGGTAAAAGTGATAGTATCAAAATCGATATCTATATAGTTAGCACTTTGTTAATCAGTAACTCCGGTCTGCAGATGAGTATAATTGTCACGACAGCATCTCCCTCTATGCTAATTAATATGTATTAGGAATTAAGTAAATGGAAATAAAACGTGTATAAGTGGCAAGAACATAATAAATAAATGTTCTTACAATACTAAACAATTAAGTGATTGAATTTAATTCCGTCTTCAGTCCTCTCCTCCAATATGTAACGGACTCGGCAAATTATTTAAAATAAATTGTATAAAATTATTTGAAAAATAGTTAAAAATGTATAAATTGTAATAATTTTTACTTTATTTTCACTGGACAGAAAATAATGGAATTTTTTTAAATTATGGAATCTCGACGCTAGTTTTCATACTGGCTTTACATGTTTTCCATCACATTTATTTTTCGAGATAAATAATTATAATAATTACTAATAGTAGTTACGCGTTAATAAAAATACATTTAATATGAAAAATATTTTTTTTAATTTTCTAATACAATTTAATGATGTTAAAAAATAGATGGGCGAAATTATCTGTGCCGATGCCAATTATTTCATTATGTAGTTGGTTTTTTTGACATCCAAACGAAATGACCAATGGTAATTTGAAAAATATTTGTAACTTTTTCTTTACAACTAGTTGAATAACTGAGTAGTTAAGTGTCATTCGCAAATACAATTACACCATTTTCTTTAACGTCCAGAAAAAAAAATATTCTTTTTCAAACTCACAAATAATTGAAAAACTAAAAATAGACATAAAAATAATATAAATTTTTTTCGAATTATTGGGCTTTACATATATATATTTGTTCATACACTCTTTTCTCGATATGCTATCGTATAAAACACAAATATATATATATATATATATTTTGAATTTCACAAAAAAATTTCTATATATTGATAGCAATTACATAATTATGAAATTAACATAAAAATAGTTACAATAAAAGATTCAGGTTATTTTTCAGAATGGTTCTTATTGAACTCAAACTTAAAGGTCTATAAAAACGATTAAACTTTTTTATAATTATCAAATTGAATTTAAACAACTTTATAAATTATATTATTTTCGGTTTGTTAAAACGATTCAAATATTTGATTAATGTTTAATTACTAATTAGATATTATCCCAAAAACTAAGTGTACATATATGTGTGCGTGTATTTTAAATTATTATTGAATAATAGCTCAAAAACTATTTTCTTATCATAAATTAACATATTTACAATTTTTCTTTTAAATCATTATGTAAATATTAATTATTATAAATCAAACTTCTATTTTTATTAATTACTAAACACATTTAATTATATATTTTTTATAAAATTTTAAATTACCTATTTTATATATACATTTAATGAAATCCACGAGTAAAAAGATCTTACTGACTTTTCACTGATTAATTAACTGGGGTGTCGAACCGAACAAAACGGTCATGAGCAACCATCGATTGAAGCTAATATTTATTTTTGTTGTCAGTTTACCAAAATAACTACAAACAGTTCGTAACTTGGCAACAGGGAAATCAAATGAGACAGATTGAATGTAATTTTGTGGCATCACTAGTGTTGTCCTTAAATTGTGCACATCTTAATACTTCCATAATTTGGATTAATATGTAACACTATATAAAATATTATTTGGTTAAGATTGTTTTTGTTATTGAACTTCTTGGAAATATATTGACCAAATAGTTTAAAAATCTTTTCCCTTTACTTGCATGTAAAATAAAGGTATAAATATGCTGTTTCATTTTAGATTAAATTTTTGCGCTTTTATTAACAATTATTAACATTTAATAAAATATCTTGAAATGTTGTAATCATTAACTAGAGTGGATATTTTTAACAAATCAAATTATTTTCAGTATTAAAAAAAAATATTTTCATAATAACCGTTAATATGTTATATAATTAATGTACAATATCATTTTTATAGATAAAATTAATATTATTAAATTTTATTTGATTGATTGAATACTTTTAAATCTGTTTTAAAAGCTGTGCTTTATCGATTTAACTGCAATATACTTTGTTTGAATCGACATTTGAAAAAATAATATAACATGTATACTAATACTATTTTAGTAATATATTTGTTTCAATATGTAAATGATCGCAAAAAGAAATTATTTTATCAGTATATGAAATACCTTTAGTTTTAAATTAAATACGAAAAAAGTTTATTGTTATAAACTTGATTTTAATTACTTTAATTTTATTATTCTTTAAACAGTATGCAACTTCGAAAAATATTTTACATAGTAAAGAATATTGTTTTTTTCCTTTTGAGTGTTGTATGCAAAATCAAAACTTTTATTTAAAAAAAAAAAATTAAAGTCCTTTTACGGGTCGAAATTTATAACTATTTTAAGTACTTACCCTATTAAACCAGTGAACAATAATTATAAGTAAAATAGTACACGAGATTTGGCGTGTTTCAACAATTTATTTGGTTTTATATGATCTGCATAAAATGTAGGTTTTAGTGTACTGGTATAGCGTCTAGTGGTTTATGGCGTATAGGATACGAGTTTAATAGTAACTTTTTTTTGCCTTAAGTCTGATTGATGGATGTGTATAGGGTGTAAACGTATTATTAATATGTTTTTATGCGTATCAAGTAACGTTTTTTGTTAGATTT